TTGAGGCATCACAATTTGATGTGATTAATGCGCATTCAGATAATTATGTTCGATTTCCTGAAGGATGAGAACTTTGGATAATATTAATCCATTCCCTGAAGTGAATGTGACAATATTAATAAATCGGGTAAATATGAACGCACTCTTGATGTGAATATATCACAATTCACCTTCAGAAGAGGTAATATAATTGAGAAAATATATACTCAATATTTCGTAATTTAAATATGCTCCTGAAGAAGTAACACAATTGAAATTCCCTCATGAAGTAGGAAAATATTATGAAGAAGAATTTTCTTGTGCTTAAACAATTGTTTTACGTTGTTTATTTGATTGTGATTTTCTCTCATGATACTAGAAGTGTATGAGAAATATTTGATAGTACAAAATGTATCAACAACTCCTGAAGAGCTAACTGTTTGCCTAAAGGATACATGACACCAGTAGTGCCCGATAAATATTAGATTGTGGATAATAAATGAAGGCTCTCGAAGAGCTTATATACAAATATGTCATTCATATTATATGATTATGGTCAAAACATATGTTGTAGTAAACCTGAAGTTTACTAATACAAATGGCTATCATATTGAGACTACAAATGATTGGAAGATTGATAATCTTCATGTTTCCACAATCATAGGGGGTAAAATAATATGTATGTGAGAAGTTACCCGCCTTATTCTTTAATTTGTACTATATCATGTATCACAGTAAACCAGAAGTTTACTAAAGCAAAAGTTTATGCCATAGTAAACCAGAAGTTTACTAAGAGATAGCACATGACATGATAAACTTGAAGTTTTCATTTGCCATTTTTAAATGAGCTATTTGAGAATTCAGATAAGCATATACTAAAGAACTAGAAGATTCTTCAGGAATTCTCATGTGTTGCTTGCCCTCGTAATGAATTGATTATACCAGCTAAAGTTGGGACTAAGACCCATGATTCTGAAATNTAAGAGCATAATTTTCAGATTATGAAATCAAGACAGTTCATCTTGATAATGCTGGTTTATATCCA